GCTCAGTTTGGAAGGAGTATTAATACAAATATGTAGAGTGCCTTGTATTTTACCCTATTTTTTATGTTTTTATACTATACATGTTTATATTTCTATTCTTTCCAAACTGAGCTTTAATGACTTGTCAACTCATCACTCCAAATTAAAATTATTTTTCATTACAAATGAACTAATTAGAGAAAAGATACTTTGACGTCAATCTCTTCTACAAATCTCTATAAAGTCATGAATAGCTAAAGAACTTTTAAAAAGAAAAGCTTACTGAGACCACCATCTTTCAAGGCATAAAAGCTTACCACCACATACTTGCTTACTTTATCAACCTCAAATAACTGAAATAAACACCATTGTTATGAAGGTAACATGCATACCGGACCCAAAAAGATATTAAAAAAATAAATAAAAGCATACGAAATCCATAAAAAAAAATTTACCAATATTCGGCCACCTACACCTCCTTGCCCTCAAGTTGTCTTATAGAGATATTGCAAAACAAATTCATGGCTTCCTTTCTCCACTAACTATGAAGTGATTCAGACCATCGTAGCCGAAAAAATACTTTTACTTTTTGTTTTTCTTTATTTAAATTGCTATATTTTCTTTTTTTTAATAATTTATTAATTTTTTAAAAAATTAAATTAGACCAGATCAGATTCAGATATCTGACATTCTGATTGGATTCGGATTCAAATTCAAATTAGTATTTATACTCTAATTTAAATTTGATCCAATTCAATTCATTTACTTTCCCAGATCATCATGTCCTACGTTATCTAGCAGATAAGGTTTAAAATATCGTAATGTATGGCTTATATATTGATTTTTAAATCAACCCAAAATGCCATCTCAAGAAATTTAGGGTCTCCACTAACTATGAAATGATTCAGACCATTGTAGCTGAAAAATACTTCTATTTTTTGTTTTTTTATTTAAACTGTTATATTTTCTTTTTTAATAATTTATTATTTTCTTTTAAACTAAATTGAATCATATCAGATTTAGACATCTGACATCCTGATTGGATTCAAATTCAAATTAATATTTATACCCTGATTTAAATCCGATCCAATCCAATCCGTTTACATCCCTAGACCATCGTGTCCTACATTATCTAGCAGATAACGTTTAAAATATCATAATGTATGGGTTATATGTTGATTTTTAAATCGACCCAAAATGCCTTCTAAAGAAATTTAGGGTCTCTACTCTAGGTTTAATCATTAAAACAACCCCTCCCCCTTCCCAACTTACCTAACCCTGACCCACCTAGCTTACATTTGAATATCCAGGACCAGGATCCTGGAACCCCACCATTTGGAATGGTCGGCCCATGTGTTGGGTGGTTACTGCAAATTAAAGCAAATCAGGTCCCCACCAATGGTGGGGAAGGCCGGCCTCAGATAAATGGTCATATATATTTGAGGAAGGAAGCAAGTGCAGTGATTCTGCTCCCTTCCCACATTCAGTCATGAATAGGCCCCCAATTGGAGTTTTCTGGACGCACACCCAGCTCTCACAACCCCTCCATCTTATTCCTGTGCTCGACAGAACCCAAACAGTAGTGATTGGCACCTTTCGATCACAAACAGAAATAGGACTCAAGGAGACAAGGCAGCAAACAGATCCTCTGATGGAGACATTCGGGAGTGACCCTTCACGGCCATAGTGAGTCTGCATGCAGTAATCAAACTGCTTGGAATGTGAATCCTGCTTCAGTTTTAAGTTTTAACATTTAACCTTGGGATAAGAGAAGGCTGGGCATTTGTTCTGGAATCTGGATCAGAGGTAAGATGCCAATTTTAAGCTATGGCAGGTCTGTTCTGGCTGCAACAGAAAGGGTTCAACAAAAAATAAAAACCAGTGCCAATTCAGTTACCAGTTACTGCATGAGATTGAAAATTAAATCAAGCTGCACAGATGCATGGAAGAAGAAATTCTGTAATCAGGAGATGATAGAATTGGAAGAAACAAGAAACGATGGTAGCCATACAGACCATAATTAAGGTTTTGAGGTTGAGGGTGTTCGACCAAGGGACCCTCTTGCTTTATGTGCCATTTTCTAATGAAAACTTAAACAGCCTGGGGCAATTAGGCCTTACAAGTTACAATACAACCCAACCCACAGAGGGCTAATAAATATTCATTCTCTCACTTAGATATATAGACAAAGGAAACCAATCAACTAGGCTGGAAATTGGGGGCCACCGCCTGGTACAATGTTGAAAAATGCCAAAAGTTAGGTCCTTGTCCAGTTCACCCCTCCTAACAAGTAACACCCACCCCAGACAGACAAGACCAACATATATACACACATGAAGCCAGTTCATACAGATACATCTAGCTAGCCTTCCATTAGTACTGTAGAATATGGGGAAGAATATCATACCAGTTAACCTCTAAGGTGTGAGGATCAAGAAAAAGATGAACAGAGATGGCACTTCCCCTTTGTTCTTTAGTCTTCTGCAGTTTTTTCTGAGTAAACAAATTGAAAACTCATCAACAAGACGGTTAATGTACCGTAGCATAGAGGGGAGGAAAATATGGGGCTTGGATCTGCTGCCCAAAAGCTGTTCCCACATCCCAACTCACAGAACATTACAGCTGCACGGACATTAGGAATATCTCCCTTGTCATTCATGTGGAGATGTTTTCGACGCATGACAGTGGTGCTTTGCGGGAATTCAGATCTCACACCTACCCACATAACACTACAGCTATACATTAGGAACATCTTCCATGAATGATAATAGATAAATACAAGAGATATTCTCAATATGCGGCTATAGTGAGACATGGGTCATTGTGGGTAGGAGATCTGAACTTGTTTTATGGGTAGAGATATGGGTACACTTTGTGGGTAGCAGATCCCGAGGGAAAAATATATCCTCCATGAGATACAAGATGGCTGTAATCTAACATTTTTTGCCCTTTTAACACTAACAATACTTTGTTTATTTTATTTTACCACACACCATCCAGTACTACTCATATTAGGGGACCGAATTATATGCCATTGTTTTTTCTACCACAAATAACGTGCTTGTTTTGCAATGACGTGCCTTGTAATTTTGCAATTTGATGTTGGAAGTAACAAAGCCCAGATTTAGAGCCCATTTTTGAGGCCCATATGTACTACCCATTAATAATATAAGAAAATTATCAAAATTTAGTAGATAGAAAAAGCAGCCTGCATATCACAATGAATGGCAGTGTTTGGTGTGATTTGGGTTTATTTGATAAACGATATCATGTCATTACCAAATCAGCACTTGTTCCATCATGTTAATTCATACATATAGTTATTGATAAATTTTGATCTTGATTTACGTGTGCATCAACCCTTGGGAGAAACTTCATTTTAATGCTTCTCCTAACAGTTAAACATTTATGTAATGTTCTGCTAATGTAGCATCTAATTGTCAATAAATCCCGGAAAATATTTGTTAACCACTTTTTCTCAATTTTGAAGACAAATCAAATATAAACATTTATTTAACAAACGAAATCCATGCCAAAATATACTTTGTTAGATAAATAGACCATGACCCTGGATCTCAATAGTTCAATGTTTGATTCAAATGGAGAACAAGGGAAATCCATTTACTACATGCTTGGTGTTTCCATTTCATAAGTGGACCCAACCCAAGTTCCCAAGTGACGTTAAAAGCCAATTGTAACCCATGAATCGATATATGGGCCTTTCTGAACTGGAAACTAATTTCCATTTGTGGGCCCAACTATTTTTCTGTTTTCTCTTTTCTGATTCTTTTCCTCTAATATCATGAGAGTCACGTTTCACATCTTTGTGAAAGAAGGTAGTGGTGTTTTGATGTTTTCTTCTCCTGAATTGTATTTCATAAATAACCCAATACTGGAATTAAGCATGGTGATTAGACCTGTAGTGGTGTTTTGATGTTTTCTTCTCCTGAATTGTTTTGTACTGATTAGACCTGTTCATGGGCCGGGTAGCCCAATGGCCTGGTCTGCACCCCAGTCGGGTTTGGTCATGTAATTAGGCCCGTGGGCCTGACTTCGGGCCTAACACAGTAAGTCCGACTGTGTTATGGGCCGGGCTCGGGATTTGTCAAAAAAGACCGGCTCAGCCCAACTCAGCATTATATTATGTATTTTATATATTATATAAAATATATAAATAATATAATATTTATTGAAATATATATATATTTATAATTTAATATATACATTTTTTTTCTTTATAATTTCTCTCTCACTCTCTCTCTTTCTATTCAGCCGCTTCACCAGTAGTAACAACATGGGCTAAATTTTGGGCTCGGGCCCAGGCCCAGGCTTCGGGCTTTTTATGAGGGTCGGGCTTGGGCCCAAGTTGTAGGCCCGATGGTCAGGCCGGACCTTAGAAAAATCTGATAATATAGAGTGAAAGCCTGGCCCGAGCTCTGCCTGGCCCGGCCCATGAACAGGTCTAGTACTGATATATGCTGATATGACGAGACGATTTTCATTTTTCTTATTTATCCATTGGAAGTCATCAATAAATGTGACAATGTTAGATTGGGTTCTGATGAGGGCAGATTTGGTCCTCCACTAACACCATGACACATGGCATTTCGGAACAACTAAATAACACCCCGATACCATCTAGGCGATGACTTGCCTTAGCCAAAATGATGAAGTCCTACCTGGCGACCTGCCTTCGCCAATCTGATGATCTGCCTCCACCGACTTGGCAACCTGCCTCCGCCGACCTGATGGAAACCAAGCTGATGACCTCGTCCACAACTCAAGATGGCTAGCAACACCTCATCCAGGGCCGACCTGTGGTACCTCGTTAGTATCAACGTGAGGAGTGACCTCCCTTGAAAGCTTGCCGACCTGTTTGAGGTCCAAGTGGCGACATGCGAGACGTGTTCGCCAACCAGTTCTGCATGCATCCCGTCACTCCCGGGTCTCTCGAAAATTGGCCACCACACCGAATGTTCCAGTTGTTATCCTAGCATTTCAATTTCGCATATAGTACTTTATTAAAATAAAGTTTCTTTTTAACATATATTAGAGGGAAGACGATTCTGTTTAACTGTAACGGTATATTTTACATTCCAACTGCAAATTCGGCCTCCACCATTGGTGAATCCCATGAGCACGTTTAAAATCTGGTGATGGGCTCCGGTTGATTGTCAGGTTGGCTGATGGAAGAAGGTGCAGTGGCTCTGCTTCCTTCCCAATTACATGCATGAATAGGCCCCCAATAGAGTTCTGAGTAGCCAGTTTCTCAATGCCTCCAGCTCCAATCTCCTCCATCTTTTTCCTGTGCTCAAAGTACCCAGCATACTCGGAACAGATGTCATCTGCAGGATTCACAAACAGACATGGGACCCATGCAGACAAGGCAAGAAATGGATCTTCTGATGGAGAATTTTGGTTGTAACCCTTCACAGCCACAGCAAGTCCTGCAGTGATCAAGCTGCTTGCGATGCGGACCCCATGCTTCACTTTTTCATCTTTTATCCTTTCAATTGGAGCAGAGAAGAATGGTGGATTGAATAGAAATGATTCAAGAAAAGTGCCCATCTTGGCCATGTTCTTTCCAGCCAACATCGCCACAGCAGATCCCAAAGAATGACCTGCTATCCATACATTCAAATCTCCAGCGGCAGTAACTGTGTCTTGGACAGCTTCCATTGCACTCTCGAATCGAGAGGTACAGTGGAGTTCATTCTGGATGAAATGGAGGTCCAAACTGAGATCTCGTAGGAAGGATTCAGGCTTGGTAATGGTGCCACGGAAAGCAACAACATATCTTGGAGAACCCTGTGTTGAGTGGCCATAGTAGCAGAACTGGGGTTTGAATTCATATATAGCGCCAAAGATAGAGAAATCTACATTGTCCACAAGTGGATGAATCAACTGGAAATGGAAAAATTCCCACCAAGGTGGGGCAAGAGCTTCAGGCCCTTGGCGGTTCTGCTGCCGGTCCTGCTCTAGCACATAGACACCCTGAACCAAACTGGCAGCAACAGATCTTCGATGATGTGCATTATTCCTGCATAACAATATTAACATAGAAAATTTCTCTTTAATGGATGAACAAATATAAAGGGATTATTTATAGTGCACCCACTTGCTCACAGAGAGCAGAATATAAGGTATACTGGATGAGGGACCATTTGAAAATCATGTGGCACACACATGGAGGACCTTGAACTGCTATTTTATCATCAAAACTAGAAAAAATATCCATAAACTGCCGTGGTTGAAAGAAGTAAAACATGAGCATTTGGTTAATAAGGAGTGTAATTATCAACCAAAATTCCCTGTCCACTCTTGCCAGGCATTCTGGGATCATTAGTCCCAATAAGAACTAATGCCTAGAGCTAGTAATTCTAACTCAAAAGAATTATAAACATCTAACTAAGCAGGGAAATCCTTGACTGAAAATTTTCTCTCTTTGTTTTCTTTTCTTTTTACTCAACTGTAGTCCACTCTTGTCAGGCATTCTGGGATCATTAGTCCCAATAAGAACTAATGCCTAGAGCTAGTAATTCTAACTCAAAGAATTATAAACATCTAACTAAGCAGGGAAATCCTTGACTGAAAATTTTCTATCTTTGTTTTCTTTTCTTTTTACTCAACTGTAGAAAAATGTGATACCACTGGTTTAAATCCCTGTATGTATACCACATGGTAATGTGTCAAAAGGAATCTGTCCATACAGTGTATCAAACAGAAAACAGATATGTAGAATTCCTTCAACATAAAGGATACCACAATATATCAGGAAAAATGTCTACCAGTCAACATCTGTGAGGAAGAAAGGTCCCGAAAGACTGAATATTTGCCTCTCGGATGCAATTAGGCCCATTGCCCCTTATGTTCCACTATATACCCAAGAAACTGCAACAAGACAAGCCAGAAATTTAAAACAGTTATGAGTAGTCTGTCCAGAAAGGAAACATGTATTATCAATTTATCAACCAGTGCATATCAGGTATTTGTAAGGAAACATCTTAAACCTTCCATGGTATTATGCGTTTACTGTGTAGTGTTGAATATCTACTTGATGCAGAAGACAGAGCTAAATATGGAATTTTTCTGATATTTTTATGTATGTGTGTGTATATATAATAAAACAAAACCCGAAATTTGTCATTTTGGCCTTTCTGATTGTAATGTTCTTATCCTAGATTCCTAGTATGCTTATGCTTAGTGTTTCCATTGTTTTCATTACTCTTTAGATCTTATTTAGGGCATTTACATCTTTATTTATTTGTTTTAAGTTTCAAATGATTTCCCTTTGTTCCGTTGCTGGTAGAAAGGAGGCAAAAAGAACTCAATCGTACAATGCAAAGGAAAAGCTTCGTAGTGATGAGGAAAGCATACCAATTTCACAAAATTACAAATAGAAAAGAAAAGGATGGAGAAGCAATTCTAGATTTTTACCTTTTGAGGAAAAAGTAACTTCGAAATTTCATTAAGGAAAGGTGCTCAAACATGCTGAACCAGATATAGATTTGAAATTTTAAAGAATACCATTAATGCATCTTGATGAATGCAATAAGCAAGTAATAACTTGGAAAATCATAAAGCTAAATTGCAACTAAACCTTTTGGTATAATCATCAACTATATTAATTTAAAGGGTGCAAGGAAAGTCAGCTCAACTCAGCCTTAATCCTACCATTTGGGGATTCTGCCCCACTATTGTGCCCTACAAAATTGACATCAGACAAACATACGTATTCAACTCAAGTTTACTGTTTATTATTAAACCACACTAATCATATGCAAGAGATCACAACAATTGAAGAATCAACAACAACAACAACAACAACAACAATAATAATAGTAATAACCTTCTATAAATTTCGTAACTGCTTTGGGATTGACAACCAAGAGTTAGTCAAAAACAGGGGAAGGCTAGAGCTTGGGTGGCTATTATATTGCAATCAACATTTCTCAGAAGAATTATTAACATGTATGCCTAAGGCATGTCAGCTTACAAACTGGAATAGATAACTTGCATTAACATGTATGCCTAAGGCATGTAGTTTAAAAACAGCAGGAGTATAGAGTATAGGTGGGACTTAGGTGGCATTTGATAAATCTAAAATCTGAAATCTGAATTATTCCACTAGGAACAATAAGATCCCTAATGACCTAAACCAAATAGTATTGTCAGCTCACAGAATGGAATAGATAACTTGCATTAACATGTATGCCTAAGGCATATAGTTTAAAAACAGCAAGAGTATAGAGTATAGGTGGGACTTAGGTGGCATTTGATAAATCTAAAATCTGAAATCTGAAAAGTTAAAAATATATTATTTGTCTATAAATCTGAAAAAGAAGCATAGGTGCTTTTCTACTTTCTAGAGGCTCTGAATCCATAACTTTGTTTGTGTTGGATCAACCCTACCATCTGAAATTCACTGATTTTACTATTTTACCCCTAAAACATACTATGTGGAAATGTTGAGTTCAATTCGCATTATCTAATAAAAAATAATTTTCAACTTCAAAATAATATTGAAACAATACAAATAAAAAATAATAATTTAATAATTAAAAATTACTAATTAATAAATGAAACGATTAAAATTAAAAAACTAATCAATGACTATAAAAATATTAAAATAATTAATAATTTACACAAATAAAAATTAAAATAATTTGTAATAATAATAATTAAATCAAGAGGGTGAGTATTAATAATAATAATTATTATTATTATTAATTATTAATTATTTTAATATTTTTATTAAACATTAATTATTCTTTCATTAATTTTTAAAAATTACTTTAATTTTTATTTGTGTAAATTATTAATTATTTTAATATTTTTATAGTCATTGATTAGTTTTTTAATTTTAACCGCTTCATTTATTAATTAGTAATTTTTAATTATTAACTTATTATTTTTTTTTTTTATTGTTTCAATATTATTTTGAAGTTGAAAATTATTTTTTATGAGATAATGCGAATTGAACTCAACATTTCCAAATAATATGTTCTAGGGGTAAAATAATAAATTCAGTGAATTTCAGATGGTAAAGGGTTGATCCAAAAGAAACAAACTTATGGATTCAGTGCCTCTAAAAAGTAGAAAAGCATCTATGCTTTTTTCAGATTTCAGACAAATAATATATTTTTAACTTTTCAAATTTCAGATTTATCAAACACCACCTGAGTCTTAAAATTTCAGACCTGAAAAAACTCTTCAGATCATATTTCAGATGCAACACCAAATAAGCATTGCATCTGAAAAGTAGATATTTCATATTCAGACATCTGAAAAGTGTTACCAAACGCCACCTTAATCATATAGATCTGAATAGGGGCCATAAAACAAAGAAAAAATATACAACCAATCAGCATCAAAGAGCATTTAGCCTAAATCATCAAGGCTATGATTAGTTTAACAAAGAGAAGAGAGACAGAAATTTCAGGGAAGTTTTTAAGGCTATGTGAACTTAAGAATTTCCCCCAACTTTCTGTTTCTCTCATTTTCTATCAAACCAAACACAGCCAAAGAGTTAAAAAAACATATAACATCATCATCCAAAACCAAAAGTGATCAATGAAGATAATATAGAACCAGAAAGATGGACTAGAGTTTTTCGAGTGGTTGCAGAATTATAGAACTCCCCTCATTCATTCCTCCTACCATCTGACCATCAAAGAGGAGTAAACAATAAACAATATATAGAAACAGCAGATACCAAAACTCAAAAGCAACCAAACAAGAAAATATTCTGCTTAAGCTCCAATCTTTATCAACTTAATAAAAATTTAAATAAAAAAAAGGCCGGTGAGCACCATTTCATCAATGTAAAAAAAGCACAAAGAAAAGAATAACACTGTCTCACTATCTAACCAAATGCTAGTTGACAAATTCTCTAGAAATAAGAAAAAGTCAAGAATCAATTTTCGTATTAACAAGTAAACAAAGAGATCAAATGAGAATGCAATATACCTTGGGAATTTCTCAGAGATCAAATGTAAACAAAGAGAATAATCATATATCTTGGAAACTAGGGTTTTGAATTGAACTGGAGAGGAAGGATAAGCTTTTCCCTCCTTCCTTTCCTCTTCTCTCTCTCTCTCTCTCTCCCTCTCTCTCTCTCTCTCTCTCTCTGTGTGGGAGGTTGGAAGTACATTTCATGTCTCTCAACCGAGTACATAGTTCGTAACACACCATTTACACGTTAGTTGACATGTCCTTTTCCGACTCTGGAGACCCAATTAAACCATACCGGTGGCGTTGGGGCCTATTTAATACCATTAAATTAAGGGTGTTTTGCTTGTTAGAATAACTTCTCAAAGGAAAAATCTACTGAAGACAACCTCTTCAAAATTATTTTGGGTTTCTTCTAAGGGGCACTAATTTAACATTTCACTCTCACTGATCTCTCTCAGAGAGTTAGAGTCTCAAAGTAGAAATACCGAGAAGAGAATGCATTACTTCTGTCGTGTCAGCAGCGTCAGCAAGAGGGGACAGAGTCCTTGCAACGGTCATGGATGATGGAGGAGGAATACAAATATGCAATAGGGGTTGCGCAGAGAATCGCTGCATGAAGGTATACCATCAAGGATTTTAGGTACCAGAAGAACCACCACACTGTGATTGAAGTGAACGAGACATATTACGAGAACTGCACCCTTGATGGAGCTATTAGTGGTTGGTATAATGGGATGAATGTCTTCGTGTCTGTTCACCTTCTCCCGTCAACGCCGATTGCCTCCGCTTCATCTGAGCATTCAAAACCCACCGTCACCACTAACCACTGACCACCCCCGGTAAAGCTATTTCCCGGCCGTTAATTACAGAGTAATTTTCCGGTTGCTCTACCAAATGAGCAAGTTATTTGCCGGTGGTTGTGGTTGGTTTCTATTTTAGTTCTTCCACGTGGTGTTTGGTTGGCAGCCGAACAGGTTTGACGAGTTTGCCATGTCAGCAGTATGTCCACGAGGCAAACTTAACCCACATAACCCATTTACTGCTGAGAACACAAATCTTATTAGGGGTGACAATTTTCCCCGTCTCCAACGGGTACCCGGCCGGGCTCCCCAACCCGACGGGGTCGGGTATGGGAGGTATTTTGGCGGGGTCGGGGTCGGGGTCGGGGATGGGGCTATCCTTGAATTCCCGATCGGGGGCGGGGACGGGGATGGGGAATGCAATCCCCGCCCCGACTTGGCCCCAATTAATCTATATATATAATTGTATATATAATATAATATATAATTCCATATATTGTTTATAATATTATATATTATATTATTATTCATTTTTTATTAAAACTTAAAAAACACTCCAAGTGTCCAGTCTTCAAGACTTCGACAGAGAGACTGACAGCGAAGAGAGAACTCTGAACCCAGAAGGGCCAAAACCCAGTCTTCTTCTGTCATCTTCATCGTCGATTCACCGACTGCTATCGTTATTGCCACTTGCTTGTTGAACATCAGACGTCGTCGGACCTCTATCGTCGCCGACCACCAATCTACCACTTGATGAGAAGGAAGTGGAGGAGAAGTAGGAGAGAAGATCTGAATGGCTTTTTCGGCAAATAATCTCAACATATCTGAATGGGTTTCTCGACAAATAATCTGAAGAATTGAATGGTAGTGCTTTGGGTTTTTGTTGATTCTTTGTTTTCTTTTCCTATTTTCCTTTTTTCCAGTGGAGGAGTTGGTGGCTATTCGTATCTTTGGAGCTTTGTGGTGGTTATTCGTATCTTTTGGAGCTCTGTGGTGGCTATTCGTACCTTTTGGAGTCTGTTGATTCTTTGCATTTGCTCCAGCTAGGGCTAAGAGTTTGGATTTTGCAGTGACCCTCAGGGATTCGGGTCCCGATGGAGAATTCATCCCCGTCAGGGTTGGAGATGGAGGAGGATTCTTTTCCCGGACGGGGATGGGGAGTGATTTGGGGGTCGGGGTAGGGGATGGGGAATTTAATCTCTGCCCCAAACCCGCCCCGTTGCCATTCCTAAATCTTATATTTAATCCCAACTAGCAATTCATGGGTTGAATAGTGTAAACTAGGGGTGCAAATGGATCGGATCTATTTGGTCGGATTTGGATCGCTCCGGTTTGAAGAAGATATATATATATACATATTTTTAATATTATATTTTTATAAATTTGTTATATTATTTATTTTTTTATAAAAAATATATATATGATGAAAATAATTAAGAAATACTTGTTTTTTTTATTTTATTTAAATTAGTATATTTTAATTTGCTTTTAAGAATTTATTAATCTTTAAAGAAAACTAGTTGGATTGGATCAGATTCGGAGACCCAACTTATTGATAGGATTCGAATTTAAATCAAGTCCTATCAAATCCGATCGAATCTTTAGATTGGATTAGATTCGGCATAAACAGTATCGGATAGGATTCAAATATACCTTGATTTGAATCCAATCTGATAGAGGATCTAACTAATTTGGACATGTGAGAGCCCCCCCCCCCCTCCGGGGCTCTCTCAAGTTGGACGTGTGTAGTAATGCCTAACTTGGACAATAGTTGTTGAAACCGGTCTACACTGAAATGTGAAAGATCTGAATCTCCTTCGAATATATTGGCACTAAAGTGATAATCAATGTCAATGTATTTTGTACATAAAACTGGATTGAGGTGCAATGTGTATGGTAGTCTTACTATCACAATGGAATTGCATGGGTCCTGAAAGGGTAATTGTGAGATCAACAAGGACTCTTAATCCATAAGAGTTAGAAGGTAGCAACACCCATTATCCAATATTCAACTTCTGTAGAAGAACGCAAAATTGTATGTTATTTCTTAGCCTTCCATGAAATTGGTGAGTTACCAAAAAAAATGATATTTCCTATGGTTGATCACCAAGTGAGTGGGCAACTTGCCCAATCTGAGTAGCAGTAACCTTGAAGTTGAAATTCATTTTCTGATGATAGAAATAATCCATGTGTGGAGGTGGCCTTGAAATATCGAACCACACGAAAGGCAACACCAATGTGTTCTTGACGGGATCATGCATGAACCGGCTAAGAGAGTAAACAACAAAGCTTAACTCGGGCAGTGAGTGTAAGATAAACCAATCGACCCACTAAGCGCCTATAACGAGCAGCATCAATGATGGGCACACTAGAATCATCAACGAAATGCTTATGTTGTTCCATAGGAGTCAATCTTGGTTTACAGTCAAGCATGCCCATTTCAATAAGGATGTCAAGAATATATTTATGTTGGTTGAGGAAAATTTCATCAGTAGTTTTGGAAACCTCAATGCCCAAGAAGTAACATAAGGGCCTAAGGTCTTTTGTCTTGAAGCAATTGTTTATGTAGTTTTTAAGAGAAGTAATACGAGCTGGATCATTTCCCGTGATGATCAAATCATCCACATATACAAGGACAGCATGCATGAATTGGACTGGTGTGAAATAAATAAGGAGTAGTCAGCAGCCATTGACTGCTAGAAATCAATGTCAAGGAGAGCTTGTGTGAATTTAGCAAACCATTGCCATGAAGCTTGATTGAGGCCATAGAGTGACTTGTTTAATTTGCAAGCACAATAATAATCATTGGCAATAAGACTAGGAAGGGGCGCCATATAGACTTCTTTGTGAAGGCCTCCATGTAAAAAGGCATTGTTGACATCCAACTGGTGCAATTCCCAACACTTTACAACGGAAACTACAAGGCAACACATAGTCACCAATTTTGTAACAAGAGCAAATGTGTCGTGGAACTTAGTGTATCCTTCTATTACAATATGGGCTTTGTAGCGATCTAGGGAACCATCTAGCTTCAACTTCAATTTGTAAACCCATTTACAGCCTATGACCTGTTTTTTAGGAGGGAGATCTGTGAGTGCCCAAGTGTTGTTATGATTAGGGGTGCTCACACTTTAGTTAACCGAACTATGGGCCTTTTTTGTAACCAAACCGGTATTATCGATTTTTGGAAAACCAGTAACTAAAACCGAACCAAAGCCAATCGGTTAACCTGTTGACCAGTCCGATTAACCATCGGTTCGGATCGTTAGTTTTTCAATTTTTTAATTTTTATAATATATTATAAAAAATATATAAATATATAATAAAAATTATAAATATATATAATATTATATTTTAAATAATAAATAATATATCATATATTATAAATATATTTACACATAATGCATATTTATTAATTTATAATATATAAAAATATAAAATCTATATAATATATATATAATATATAGAAATATATGCATACCGGTCGGTTCAGCTAATCGATTTTTTAGTACGATTTTGGTCGATTCTGTTTTTTTTATTTTTTTTTTTGCTCACCCCTAATTATGATCAAAGGCTGCAAGCTCGTCAACCATGGTTGCCTGCCAATGAGGGCTTTGGGCAGTTTGAGAATATGTTATAGGTTCAGGGGAATGATGAGAGGTAGAGGTGAGTAAGGCATGATAAGTAGGAAGGTTACACACAAAATCTTGTAGGCATAATGGGAGATGGCATGTGCAAGTGGGGTGGGAATAAACTTGAACAAGCCCATCAGTAGCACGACTACAGTCAGGCCCATTATCTGTGTTAGGACTAGTAATGGGGTTGGTGTTGTCTGTAACAATCTCAATAGTACTATCATGCACATGATGTCCATTGAGAGGTCTATTACTGTGGTAAGAAAAATCACATCCATCATCAGGTTGAGGCATAGGAATTAGAATAGTTCTAGCAGAATCCATAATTAGGTCAATAGAAACTGGAAAATCATATTCATAAAAAACCATGTCTCATGACGTGAACATCTATTTGGTGTCGAGGTTGAATACCCTATAGCCTTTATGAAGTGTGGATAGCTAATGAACACACATCCGGCTAAACAAGCAGCAAGTTTGTCATGAAGAGTCAGCCTTATTTGAGCGTAACATAAGCAACCAAACACCTTGAGGTGACTATAATTAGGGGGTCGAAGGTGGAGCTTCTCTTATGAAGATTTTCCTCCCAACAAGAGTGTCAATGTGATGTTGACGAGATAGGTCATTGTAAGAAGACACTCACCCCAAAAGAAAACAGGAAGACATGTTTGAAAGCGAAGAGCACGGGCAACTACTAATAAGTGTTGGTGATTGCATTCAGTAACGCCATTTTGTTGTGGCATGTCAACGCAAGACCATGGTTGGATAATGCCTCTCTATTGAAAAAAAAAATATATGCAAGGGCCAGATAAAATTTTTAGGCCGTTATCAGACTGAAGTTGTTGAACTGAGCATTTAAATTGTGTTTCCACCATTGCACAAAAAAAGGGTGAGGTAATGAAAAACTTCAAATTCTTGTCTCATGAGAAGTGTCCAAGTACATCTAGTGTAATCATCTACTATAGGAAAACATGGTCATTGTTATGGGATGGGGTTTTGTAACTGCCCCATATATCACAATGTATCAACTAAAATGGAAAAGTAGTATGGGTATGACTGACTAGAAACGGACTTTGCATCCGCTTAGCGTGTTGGCAAGCATCACAACATGCATTTGAGGGTGAAAGAGAAGTCTCAGGAAGCAAAGATAGATGAATCTTGGAAGCATGATCGAGGTTCCTATGCTAGAATTCATAGAATAATGTTGAGCTGGTGAGATGGAAAAAGGTGGGAAGAGAGAAACTAATGTAGTAGAGACTGTCTCAAAGTTCACCCGTTCTGATCATGATCTTCGAGACAAGGTCATGTATGATACAATTAGTAGAAAAAAAAAAAAAAAAAAAACATAGCATAACTGTTGAGTCAATTTACTGACTAAGATTAAATTGCAAAGCTAAAACATGTAATACATCACAAAGAGGAAAACTAGAAGTGAAGGAACATATTAAATTGCACTAGTGGGTAAATGAATAGATTTTGGAGCAGGCAAAGGAGAACAATGTGAGAATAGAGACATATGAGACAATGTGGTCAAATGCACCACTTTCAAACATCCATTCTACAAAGGAGATAGGAACGGTTTTACCAGAAAGTTTAGCTCCAAGGTCTAGGCTGAATCTTTATTAAGGAGAGAAACCAACTTATTATACTATTGCAGAGATGAATCCAATAACAGGGGAATCTTGACCAAAGTTGAAGGAGCGTGGCCACTATTTTTGAGGTTGCCTTATCCGATCCAGTGCGATCTAGTGGAGGACGAACATTCTTGTCAAGTCCAACAGATAGACGGGTCCAACCTGGGGATATCTAATGACCTCGTAGCATTTGTCCTTTGTGTGACCATGACGTTTATAAAGGTCACAATAAGGTCTATTTTGGCCAAAAGTACAAGTCTGAGGTTTGGAAGCAACATGAAAGGTTGCAGCGTCAAGAACAATGATCCTCCCAAAGAAATAGTGAGCTGGTGGTGCTCCTCTTGGATAACTAAGGCATAGATTCGATTGAGATGTGGTGATCCTCCCAAACAAATCCAAGAATTTGTGAACGAAGCATGTTGAAAGAATCTCAGTCCTATGAAAAATTGACAAATCTTCCCCTTTCTCCGGTCAATAAGAAAGACTTTTACAACACCACAGGTAAGACCACAAGTACATTTAGGTAGGTCGGTGAGTGTTGCTAACTCATCCTAGAGAATTTGTAGTCGTTTAATGTATGCAGTTATAGAAAGATCTCCTTGCTGGAGCAAGACAAGATCCATTCAAGTTGATAGACATGTACAACGTCACTTTGACCAAAATGATCCTACAATTCACGCCAGATTTCTGTTGTAGATTCAATAAAGGGTATGTTGTGGTAGATTTCCTTTGCCACTAAATTTAGGAACCATAAAACGACCATTGAGTTGCATTTGTCCCAAATCTCCTCTTAAAGTAAAGATGGCAGTGGTCGCGACAACAAACCATCAACGAACTTGTATTTGTTCTTAGCTCGAAGTCTGGTCTTCATTGCTCATTGCCAAGTGTGAAACTTTTCATTGGTGAGCAAATTAGAAACAAGGGCTAATCTTGGATTATCATATGATTGAGTATTACTGATGTGAAGTAATTGTAATACTTCATATCAGTAATAGCTGTTTAATCAGATCTAATCCATAAGTGTATCCCACAGTTCCCACCTTTTTGTTATTTTAGAGTTTCAATAATCCAAACAAGTACACTATACATTATTAGAAACAATATTATCTCATCACATATTAACAATTTTCCATGTGGACGGATAAATGATTTATGCAAGTGTATGAAAGGTATTTTACTCGCCCAGGTAAATAAGCCACTCCAAATCATTCTTTCCTACAGACCCACTAATAGCACCGAAATACAAATACAAATTTATTTATTTTTCTTGACACCCACCAACTTATCCACCACCATTCCCCATAGGACCAACGACGCCGAATGGTAAAACCGTATAGGAGAAAGCTTATCTCTTCCCCTTTTTCATTTCTGGGGGTAGGGGAAGGGTGATAATAAGGCCCGAACGCCCATCATCCACAGGTTTGAATTGCTGGAAATTCGCACGACACGGATAAAAGCATAAACAAACTGGTATTAGGCTGCATTTGACACTCCTTGTTTTAATGACCTTATCTCCTTTTTAACTGCAAAAAGGAATACGGACTGCCAAATGCCGCCCTAATAGTTAATAACATCTTTTTTTGTAAGAAAACGAATGCCATCTTTGTTATATAAGATATCAACTATATTTATATAAAAATATGTTCGAAGTTCAGACAAGGAAGCTGACTTGGACCTGCTCGCAATTTCACAACACGTGTGAATACAGGAAAAAATATACCCCCTCGCCAAGCCCAACCCGAAGCATGAATTAAAGAATCAGAATCCCAGTTGTCTATATTCCTAGTACACAAAAGATAGAAAAACGAATCCAGTTCACTACTTGGACCAAGCAACTGCGTCAATCTCTGCTTGTGCACTTCGATATAACTCCGGTTGTCTATATTCCTAGTACACAAAAGATAGAATAACGAATCCAGTTCACTACTTGGACCAAGCAACTGCATCAATCTCTGCTTGTGCACTTCGATATAACTCCAGTCTCTTTGCAAGGGCAGTACGCCGCTCCATAACTGCAGGGTCCTCATCCAACAATGAAGCCAATTGCTTTTGCTGAAAAAAGCAGAGTTTGCAAAGAATCAAGTGATATCACTCTTTAATTCTAAAGTTCAATCAAGTAATAAGCTCTATAGCCATTTATTTCATATTAGACTTTAGAAGATTCTCAATGCAGATTCAATCAAACATCATAAAAACCTTACATATTTTCTCAAAAGAAATGGAAAAAAGGAGTAAAAATCGGCAAAAACAACGCGATGGTTGCCATTCTACAGCTCAAAACACAAACATAGTTCAATTTGTTAGGGCGTTTCGTTCCCCCTTGTGCTGTGGAGAAAGAAAGAAACTGGCAAAAAAATGGCATAAAAAGTTTGTGCATGTCTTGGGTGTGGGGGTGGGGAATATGTATGAATTATGATGTACATGAATCATGATAATAGATACTTGGCACAAACAAAGAGACGGAGGGACACCCATCCTCACCTCCTTTTTACCCAACTCGGTGAAGAAGTGATCCAGCAAGGAGCGTTTGGCCTCACGTACTTGACAATAAACAATGGACTTGGGAATGGAATTTCGCAGACTCGCACAAACCATATTGACATAAGACAAAACGGTACTACCTGTTTGTATTAAATAAGAGGGCAAAATCAGAATTAGTAGACAAAAAAAAATGGAAATAACTTGCTGAATTTAAAATGAAGTAAAACATGATATTCATCTGGATTTAAAATTTTTAAGGCAGTATTTAAAATTTTTAAGGCAGTATGTAAAGTTTAGCAAGCAACTTCATAGCAACGTCACCTTTCTAATTTTTAGATACAGAAACAACATATGGCCTTTATACTTTTAGGCAGTGTTCGGTTTGAAAGAAAAGGTAGGGAAAAGAAGGGAAAGGAAGGGTTCCTTGGTACAGGTTTCCCTTTTCCTACCTTTTCTTTCAAACCAAACACGGCCTTAGAGAATATTAACATCAAGTTGCACCAACAGAAACATATATTTTAAAAAATTAACTCTATCAAGTCATGTCCCCATTGCTGAAAGGGTGTCAAAATATCCAAATCCTGGTTTAGATACAGAAAATGAAGCTTAAGTGGAATATAATCCCAGTAGCTACACAGAAACTGCTTACCTATTCTCCTGAGATATGAATCATTGTATCTATCAAATATTGAATGTGTTGGATTTCCTCCTTTCTCAATATCCTGGGGAAGCTTCCGGAAGAAATCAACTGTCAGGTAACTACACTCCATATCAACTAATTTAAGAGTCGCTTTCCTACTTTCTTCCCTCATCCTGTCTAGAGATTCAACAGCTGCATTCCCAACCTCAACCCTGAGAGTGGGGTATTGCCTTAGCTCCTGTATACAACAGGACAAAGAACGTACATTAAAAACTTCATTTAGATATGTATAAAGGCACAAAAATAGACTTTGATTTTATAATACTGCATAAACAATTTAAGGGGAATAAGAAACAAACATGATTTGATATGCTCAACATAGATATTGATGATCAAATGATAGTCATAACAACAGAAGGGACCTAAGATGCAAACATTTTATAATCTAATTGTCAGAATAAAACATCTGGGTTCTTCGTAACATCTGTATATTTTTCTTCCTCCCACTTCTTTGTATTTTCTCTTCTGATGCAGCAGCATGCACTTGGTTAGATCAGTTTGAACCTCTTTGGAAGCCCAGAAAGAAACTAACAGATCTGAAGAAACTGTCTGAATAATGCATTTGGCCTCACTCTCGTCTTTAAGGAAATTTACGGGAGAACTGGTGAAACTAAAAGTGGAGTCTAGTTAGTTTCTCTTATTTCGATATTACTCTTAATGGTAACTTCTGAACTTAATAGTATTTCTCATAATTACAATTTTTAATAATTTCTGATGTCTTTAAATTAAAGAAGCTTTAGTGGAATTAAGAAAGAATTATTAGAGTTGTTTAGGAAACTCCACCAGTGTGAGCTTGTCTTGCATTGCCAGTCCCAAGTGCAGATAAAGGAGGGTGCGTCAGGTTTGCAGCCGGCACTAAAACTTTTGCTAAACTCTCATGATATGGAATTATGGATCCTAATCCGTCTTTCCATGCTCATACTAGGGCATGGACGATGATGATGATGATGATGATGATTTAGGAGTTCGAGTCATTATTATTTAATTGTCCTAATGGGTTAGTTAGTTTTAATGAATTTTGGTTAGTTTTAGAGAGTTTTAATGAATTACGGTTGTTGCCAAATGCCCGCCCCTCCCTCCCTCTCTCAGTTCTTCCAAGTGACCTATCTCATTGCTGTTTACCCTAACAGCAAGCATTGTAGTTGCTTCTCCATTCATATCCTTCATCTCCGATCACCCACAGCCCTCATTCACCCCATGAAGCCCACCACCAGAACCCTAAAAATAGTACGACCCCTACGTTTTGGAATTAGGACCAAATAAGCAAACTATTGGCTGCAGACCTCAATCCATTATCCTGTGTAATTGGAGTAATCTTGTCCATGATTTCCAGAGAGGCATCGGTGCTATGTTCTGACTTCTTACATAAAACTATATATAAGACTACATTCTGTATTTTTTTATCAACAAACTGCATTCTGTAAATTGCTAAATAAAAAAAAAATACCAGGCTTAAAAGACAAAACTACATAAGATTACCTTCTAGATATAATTATGACAGTCATAAATGTGCATCAACCTTGCGGACAATAGGAATCAACACATGATCCACATGCTAACAAGTGGCCCACAAATAATAGATTCTATTAGATGATTCTGGTATAAATCATCTCATTGCTGTCCCATTTCAAAAGCAGTGTTCAATTACATAAAACCAAATTCAAGTCACCAACGGATAGAAGGAATTTATATTCTTAGTTAACTATTTAATATCCTCAATCAAGGAATACCAAATACAATCAAAGTAACAACAGTGCCTTTTTCAGTTAGCAGTGAGAACTGATACAGGCTAGAAATTGGAAAAAAAGAAGAAAAAAATCTGACTTGTGGTTTGGAGTATCTCATGGAAACTAGGTTTCTTATGCATGGAACCAACGGATAGAAGGAATTTATATTCTTAGTTAACTATTTAATATCCTCAATCAAGGAATACCAAATACGATCAAAGTAACAACAGTGCCTTTTTCAGTTAGCAGTGAGAACTGATACAGGCTAGGATTTGGTAAAAAGAAGAAAAAAATCTGACTTGTGGTTTGGAGCATCTCATGGAAACTAGGTTTCTTATGCATGAAACCACAAATCTCCTATGCTTCACTAACGAGGTCTCTATAGGGCATCCAAACTCCTGATGTCTGTGAGTTTAAAAGCTAAAAGCTATTTAATTACAGAATTTTTAGGTCTAGTAATTTCGTGATTTCCAACAACTTAAAATTTGGAGAGAGTCTTCAAATTACAACATTTTAGATATTGATCAGTATGGGGCCATTGCTTGGTGCAATGATAAAGTCTTAGGCTGACAAACATGATGACAACACAGGTTCAAGTCTCATTGTCTCAAAGAAACAACTTTGCACTAAAAAGCCAAAAAGTTAGTTTTGTATCAAGTTCAACCCTCCAAGACCATAGTTATCATGTGAAAACATTTGGCAATGGTCCTTTGGAAGGTATCACCCAGTCTAAAATAAAACATTTAGAGTGTCAAAAAGATTAAGTTTTATTTGATGGCCTGTCCTGTGGGTCCACGGTTTTTTATTAGCAACCAGAGAAATACAGGTTTGTTAATTGAAGAAAGGATATATATACATTACAATATAAAGGAGTTTGATACAGATGTTTATTAATAGAATGGACAAAGAAGCATTTGACATCAAAAGAAACATACCGCAGTTTCACTGACAGCTTTGTGAACAAGCTCCTTGAGTATAGAGTGAACCTGAAGTCATGTAGAAAAGAATTTGTAGAGTAAAACATTAAGCACCTAATTAACAAGTAAATATTGGTGCATTTCAACAAAATACAAGCATTGACAACCATAAACACATAATGGTCTATAATAAACATGACTGCATTCTGTCATAACTTGGTGAAAAACGTTAACAGTAGTTTAAACATGATTTACTCTCGCTTCTAGGAATACATAATAATGTGATGACAAAAAAACACTAAAATTAAAAAGAAGTTCAATAGAACATTGAAAAAGTAAGAAAAAGAAACAAAAAAAGGACATCCAGAGGAAAACATGCAGTGAACTTGAATATTAGTGGAGGAAAAAAAGTGAAGGATAATAACTTCATTGATGAAAGAAAAACTCAGTATTCATTTAAACCCAACTGCCATTTCAAATGATCTACTAAAGATACAAAAATACAGCCATTACAGTAATACCAATCCACTTCTTAACATTCGAACTTACTGTTAGAAAGCATTTTCAGATGAAGTATGCAGACTCTGATAAATTGCAATAACATAAAGACAAAAAAAAAGGAATAGCATAAAATAAAATAAAGAATTATATGATGAAGGAAAAATAAAGATTATGACAAGGACAGAATTTGAAAAAAAAAAATAAAGCATAGGAGTTTAACATATGAATATTTAGATTTCCGATCATCTGAGAGAACAATTGAAGTTGTAAATTTAGCATTCAAGCCACCAGAAAATAGTAATATGAATCAGGAAGGAAAAAAAAAAGAAAAGAAAAACAAGTTTGCCTCAATCTTCTTTACCAAAAAAGATAACAAAAACAAGATTTAACAAGGTGTCATTAAACACTAGCACAACAAACATTTTTGTCAAGTTTAATCCTCTTGTCCTGCAAAAAAAAAAAATCAAACTTAACCAAGTAATATGTTTTAGACTTTAATGCTTACCGCATCAACTGCTGCCTCAGCAGGTCCCCTAATGGTAATCAAAGATGATTCTATGAGTCGGCGATACCCTTGTTCAGGGGCAATCAAATGAGGCTGGTATCCATCAGCCTCAGTAATTAGTTTTCTCACATTCTCCATTGAAAGATGCTTATCAAACTGCAACCGCTTTAGAGCTGCAGGAAGTTGATTATCAAAAACATTGTAGATTTTATCACCACCAGGGCGACTGCATACATAAATCAACATCAAGACTTGGGTTAATCCACAAAATAAGAGGTACAAATGAAACAAAGCAGATTCCTGCAAACAATCATGAAGGAAATTTAGAAAGTAAATTACATACATGCCATCAAGGTGCTCTTTGTATATTTGATCAAAAATACGACAAATCTCCATTATCATGTATAACTTCCCCTGCAAGTAAGCAAACCGCAAGAAAACATTTTAACCAAGAAATTGTATGTGAAGGAAAGTACTGTACAGAGATAGGGAAAAAGGAAAAAGAACATGCACTAGAAATTGCAGCTGCATAACTATCAGTATAACTAGAAAAGACTGCTAGAGTCATTAACTTAATTGAACCTATAACCAAGAAACGAAACCAAGGAAAATGAACAAAATGAAAAACAAATAAGGCTTACACCAGCATCTGCAGCAATAGGCTTCCCAAGACGGCTCAATTCTGCCTCAAGTTCAACAATGCTTTTACTAATAAGGGACTGAATGCCTGGGATTCGAGATTTGATGACAGTTTCCAAATGCTGCAACAATAGCCATTTTATTTAAGTTATGGTCATGAAAAAGGGATTAACGGAATTAAAGTTAACAAATGTAAGTGCACCAAGGGCATGTTCACCAATGTGGTACATTCCAGTTTTCAATGTTGCAATCGTTTGTAAAAACAGCAAAATTCCACCACAGAATGCAAAAGGGGAGGGAAAAGGTTGCAATCTCTGTGGGGCCCAGTTTCTAGCTACTTTGCTTATCTTTTGCTTATAAAACATGTGGGCCCAGACCTCAAAATAAAAACTTATTAAGATTGAAGATTAATTTTTCACTGTTTTCAGATTGTGAAAATAGTAAAAGCACATTAGTTACATGGGACCATTTTCTCAAGAAAGCCACATCAAGAATACAACCACATTGGTGAACCACCCAAGTTTTGGCTGAGATGTAAAAAAAAAAAGAATAAACAAGTGTATACCATTCTGGTGCTCTTACTCTCCATACAATATTTAATGGCATAACCAAAAATATATTAAAGCACCTTTGAAAGCATTTTCCCTAGATGCTCAGAACCCATTCTGTGAGCAAGATGCTTGTACTCTGGGCTATTTGCAAAGTATTCCCGCTCTCTTCGTCGAGCAGCAATCATATCAACGTTCTTGTTAATATCAGCTTGAGAGCGATTAACAACACCTATCCAGGGGAACTGTAGTCGATATGCCTTGCCTTCCAGTATCTATGCAAGCCCAGAAAAACTCAGTCAGAATACAATCCTGTCAGCAAAATCACATACTTCTAAATCTATAAGAAATAACACATAGACCTAAAATAACTTCTCTATTTTCTCCTCTGCTACTATTATATTAGGAAATGAATGTCTACCAATAAGGCATGGTATGCCTTCAGTCACATTCCTCGATTGAGGGATGTTATAACATAAATAATTATAGTATGTGAAGTATGAAGTGTTATCTTTTTCTTCCTGTAGTTATTTATATCCCTATTGCATGCTATTAATATAGCATTAACACTGCCTTTATGACAGTAATACATGTAGGATATAGAAACCTTGGAAACCCCAAAGAGACAGAGGTACTCATACAGTAAATTCATATATTATAAGGTAATGTCAATATAATAATATGTAATGCATTTTGCTTTAAATGATCCAGTTTACACTGAAACAAAAACTAAATGAATATCATGTAATAATAGTTGGAAACAACATATTTATGGAAAATTTAAGCTCTTTAAAAGTATTTAATCCAGCATATGTACGAGATGTTAATACAAGGCATTCAACACACCCAATTTTCAAAAATGGAGTCTTCTAGTTAGATAGTTCTTAATCAAAGAGATGGCAACTTGAAAATGAAGGAAGAGATGTAAGTAAACAGGAAGTAGCAGAAATTTGTCTACATTGTATCATATGTTCTTACAACCCATCATTAAATTGTACACTTGTACATAATGAAATGTTAAACATTTTTCTATTTTAATGAGAAAATTGATAAACTATGGCAAACAGGAAAAGAGTTCTTAATGTCTTAAATTTTAGCATTTATAACAACCCATGCCCCATCACAGGCAAACAAAATTAAAAAGACACCACTTCAAAATTCAATTCAACTGGATCCATATCCTACATTCTCAAGATAATATCCTCCTAGTTAACAGGTTGCATTCAAAATAACACACATGTATATATGCAGATTCCATTAAACATGGGATTCAGGTATCGAACAATAAATTTCCGGGTAATAGGTGTGGCTAATTCTAGAATAAAATAAGAACAAGTAGTTCCTATTACATGTGGTAACATGTGAAGAAAAAAAATTATATATGATAAGCTTTTTACTTACATCAACTGCATCAGTTCCCTTATCCATGAGATCAATCTTGGTCAAAACACCAAATGTCCTCTCTCCTGAAAAGTTGAAAACAAATGAAATCATGTTAGCCAGAAGATGAAAGTAGAAGTTTATTTTCAATTATCAAAATCATGTTAGCCAGAAGATACAGAAGAAATATTCTAAAAATGTTCGATTCTAATGTCCAAAGAATTTCATATTTCTAATACAAGAAGTTCTAAGCATTTATTCACATATTTGGGATATCATTTCAAGTCAGAATGTACGTTGACTTAAGAAAAATGTAATCATGAGGTGGAATGAGAAATATGGTCAATCCACAAATGAGCAAATATACAACACCTTACCCTTAGGATCTACTTCACGAGAGATTTTGATCGCATCAGAGGTAGCAAGGTCTTGATTAGCTGGTGAAATTGCTAATATTACAGAGTTGGGCTGCAAGGCAAAATGCAAAATTCAACAAACCAGAAAATATAATGTATTTTATAAGATTTTAGTCTAAAACTGTCAGAAAAGACACTCCAAATTCACAATCAGAATATTTCCTCCTTTGTGTCCAGCAAATTTCAGGAGATCCTGAAAATTACCTTTTCAATATAGGAACGAACCATATTCTCTATGTCTTGGACAATACTGTCAGGCTGACCCTCTGCAGTGACCAGAAAATTATTCAGTTGCATAAAAGTGCACAAAATGACTTGAAAAAGGAAAAAAACAAAAAACAACAAAAGAAATGCCAACTTACCAACAGCTACTTTAGTAAGTCCAGGAAGATCGATCATAGTCAAGTTCACAACTGTTGAGAGACAATTATCATCAGAAATAAGCAACATAATCAACAAAATCTGATTGCGCTAAAACAATATACAATGAATATAGTCCTGACAATTATTAAGTGCAAGAAACATACTGTGTTTGGTTCCATGGGCATTTATAGAAGGGTGTTTTCAGATAAAAACTTTTATTGAAAAACGTTACTTTAAACGATTATTTTTTTTTGTTGTTTGGTTAGGCATTTCAAGTAACACCCCATAAAACCATCTGCCACCTCATCTTACAATTAACTTTTTCACATTTTTTCTGTTCGGTTGGGGCATTTCAAGCAATACTCCATAAACGATCCAATGTGACACTGTTTAGCTAAGCTGGAGGACTATCATGCTCATCCAACAGTCTAGAGTACTCATACATGTATGATGTATTTAATGGCCGAAATTGAGAACCAGAGGTCGATTCAACGTGCAAATCACATCCAACAGCTCATAACCAGCGTCCTAACAGCAATAGAATAATAAACATCGAATGGGGGCAAGATCAAAAGATGGATCTGCAATGCACTGGATCCACAATGCACCAGATCATTTCTTAGCCCTTCCATGTAAGATGCCACATCAGCTCCAGGTAAGCATTGCATTTCAATAAACGTTGGGCAGTTAGGAGAAACCAGAATTGAAGTTCCCCCAAAAGCTCAGGCACATAAATCCAAGTATTTCTGTTTTTTAATGTTTATTTGATAAACATTGAAATAAAACAGTGGCTTCATGCTCAATAAATGCAAACGCCTAAGTGGCGCTGATGCGGCAGCATTTTTCCAATAAACGCCTACAGAACCAAACACCCTCATAATTGTGAAATGTGTTTTCACTTGAGCAGCATTTTTCAAATTAAAAGGTCAATAATCTGCAGTATTTGTAACTGAAGATCCTTAGCAGCCAAAATGCCTAAAGTCTAAGTTAAAGTTACATGAAAAGTGTGGATATGACTTTTTAACATGCCCTAACAAGTATCAGAAAAAAAGAATTAATTGTAAACAATTTTCATAAATTCAAACTTAAAAGTGATCTTAAGAATCACAAAATTCATTAGAATTAATTCTAAAGTGCAGGTGTTCTCTCCAAGGAACCATAGATTGTGGCTTCCAGAAGTTGAACATAGTTGTTCTCTATCCTACTTCCTAAGAAAAGGAAAATAAGCACCAGAAAAGAGAGGATCTTATCTCACCATTAGGTGAATATATACTTAGATGAATAGGAACAGGAGAGATCTGCTTGGTGCGCCCAGTCTCTCTATCAGTCTCATCGGAGATCTCCTTCCTCACAGCAGCTATACAAAGATAATTAATATTACTGTATCGAACAACAAACTATAAATAGTAAAACAAATACTTAAGTGTGAAGTTCTCATAAATGAAGTTAATTAGACAAAGATATAGCACAACAAAAGGGTTACCAAATACTAGCATCTGAGATGGCAGAGAGATAAATAAAAGGGGATTAAATATTGAACAGAAAATCAATGATTTAGGTAAACAAACTCCATACACTTTCTGCACAAAATTGAGACTTACAAAAAAATAAAGAGCAGAAATTGTGCTAGAATAATTACCAAAATCAGTGAACCTCTTTCTTGGGATATGAAGAAACTCTGCATATTCTCTTCCTTCCTCAATTTTATGAAGCTGTAAGACAAGGGGGCGCCTAGTGACAATCCCTGTGTAAATTTTAGTTTGCATTATTGGTCCAACACTTAACAGGGAGAAGTACGTGAAATTGAACTATCCTAATATAAGAAATAAATTAAATAAATGGATAACATTTGATAACAAAAATAAAAAATTCCATAAATTACCAGATCCACGAGGCAAGAAATCCTTCCCGACAATGCTCTCCAACACTGAGGACTTCCCAGAACTCTAGAAAGCATTAAAAAAACTAAATGAATATTATGGTCCCTTGTTAGATTTGAATATTTAAAAAAAATATACTTCAAAGCTATTTAACAATGTCTGCTTTTGTAGACAGTATAAATCCATCATGTCATTATGTCATAATACCAAATTAAAAGTATTCACATCCAACATTCATTTTTGCAGATTAATCGTTGGACCACAGCATAGTTGTTAAGGCACCTGGGCGATTCTAGGCAACATGGAGCACGTAGTCACCTAGTCTTCTAGGAAGACGCCATGACAACTATGGACCACAGTCAAGCACCATTGAATATGATTAACAATAAACAAGCTAGTAGTTAATTTTTTGTTAGAGAAAGAAAAAAAAAAAGGCCTAGTCACCTAGTCTCCTAGGCAGACGCCATGACAACTATGGACCACAGTCAAGTACCATTGAATATGATTAACAATAAATAAGCTACTAGTTAATTTTATGTTAGAAAAAGAAGAAAAAAAAATGGCCTTTTAACCCACACAAAATTAACAGCTTTATCACTCAAAGAATAACAGCTTAAAATGGTAGAAAATTTCTTCCATATAATAAACAATCCAAACAGGAATTGAAGGTGAGGAATATGTTACAAAGTAAATTAAAACTGTATACTGAACAACCAAGTATAATTTTGAGTTTTGACACCAACGAGAAAATAAGTATCCTTGACATTTTTCAGAATTCAACTGTACTTAAATATTTTTCAAGATTAGTAATGCTTAAACCTATGTCCATTAAATATGCACATAACCAATTTAATTTGAAAATATATCTAGTGTTAATAGATATATGAAAAGATAGAAAAAAGTAACGAAAAACATGGCCCTGGAGCAGAATCTCTATGCAATTTTTTCTGCTATAATTTAGATGAAACATAATGGCACCTACACCCAATTCTGCAGATACTTAAAATCAAAATTGCGCTTGAACTTCATTGTATCCGGGGTTAAAGTAAGTTAGCACAAGTTATATCTATTAAAAATGAATTCGAACACAGATTAGCTTTAATAGGATCGTCTTGAATCACGTGGGTACTTATAGCATCATATGATTGATAAGAAACTAGCAATTGAGTAGAAACTTTCAAACTAACTTTTACCTTTTCTAAACGGTTACAGAGAAGAAAACTACAGCACTGTTAATGAACAAGCAAAATTTAATTAACCTAACGATGCAACTTCGGCGGGCACGGTTCTGCATACTTTTCAATAGAAAATTTTTATAAAAAAAAAAATTGTTCACACCCAACATGCGGATGCATCTCTCAATATTCCAAGAGTATACTTCTCAAATGCATATTGAAAATAAACTCTTTAAAAACATTTAAAGCACGCATATACATCGTCTTAGAAGTTAGAAACTGATGAAAGCATACCAGATCCAGAGTTGAAGCTAACACATATAAAAAGCCGCAATAAAATCAAGAGATTCATTTAGAAGTTTACATTTGATGTAGAAGAAAAGGAGAATGCATAAAATTTAATCACAAGATCCTTCAGAAAAAAATCGATAAAATAAATCAAAAATCAACGATAAAATCCAGCATGAATCGGTGTAAACCACGAAATTCGAGAACTCCAAGGATCTGAGAGTATACTAAAAAAACTAAATTTTCAGCTCAGATTCGCGGAAAAAATTAAATATAGATCCAGGTTATTTTGCATTTAATCTAGATGCTTCAATATCGACGACAACAGAAACGGCGAACAGATCCTTGAAATAACAACCAAATATACGAGATCGGGAGCTGACCTGTCCTCCTACGACGGCAATCGCCGGCAAAGAATCCCATAAAGTCGGCAATGCGCTCTCTTCTCCATGATCTCCAAGGGCCGTACAGGCCCTCTGCAACTTGTTCACCAAAGAGATCAAATTCTCCATGTTCTGACCTAGTCCTGGGAAAAGGTAAAGGGATACAGAAGAGGGGGAGTGGATTCCGACCGGATAGTTGAAAGATTCCGGCACGGGGGCCGGAAAAGTAGATCGGGAGAAATCAAAGAGAGATCTGCAAATGTCGGCCTTGCTTCACAAGCAATACTACTGTCTCGTCGGATACCACACCACACCCCAGACCAGAGGACGAGGGCATTCAACTTTGAAAAATGGATGAGCGAGCCAACCGCGTCCTGGAATTATACTTGAATATTTGAAGTAGTTCTGTGTGTGTCAGACGGCGATACCTGACCCACATTCGGGCAGGAAGACACGCTGACTCGGCTTTTGGTTTTGCGAGATCGTTAAGTTCTCGATCGACGAACTCAAATTTTAAGTAATTGACAAAATTATCCCTGAACAAATGGGATATCCTGTATACACGTGGATGGATACCATACCACCGACCGACTGAACAACTACTCTCCTTTCACTTGAATTTCAAACCTCCTTTGAATTGGGCGTGAGCATCCTCCACTCGATAGCAATATTTTAAAAAACGACTCGGAAACGGAACCGTTCTGATTATCGGTTTTCGATTCAACGGTCCGACCGTCCAATTCGAATGGACGGCCCATTCTGACAATAAAATTAAAAAAATTAAAAAATAAAAAAATACTCAAAAACCGTTGAATGGATCGATGGGTGAACGGTTTAATCGCTCGAGTCAATGGTTTGTTGACTTTTTCAACAGTTTTTTACCAAATTTCGAGTTTTGGGTAAAACAGAACTGGTTACCTGGATGGTTTCTCGGCCAACTGTCCGACTGTCCGGGTTAATGGCGGTTCAAAAATGTTGCTAAATACAAACATCCAGTGTAGTTGTATCAGAGTGAAATTCCGAATTAGACGCTAAAAAGAGAGAGTGGAATTTTGAGTTTTAGGCACTCAAAAAAACTAGAAAAACCGGATCATACTGGACGTCGGACAGGAAAACCCGAGAACCATTTTTCCTTGAAACCGGATTTTTTGCCAAAAAACGATGATTTGGTCAGCAAACCACTGACTCAAGCAATTGAACTGTTCGAACCGTTGAACAATTTTGACCATTTTTTATTTTTTTAAATTTTTATCAAAATGGTTCGATCATTTGAACCGAACAGTCAGACCGTTCGACCCGGGAACTGGACCCCTGACCGATTCATTGTCCGAGTCGGTTTTAAAAACCTTTTTATTCAAGGGGCAACACAAGGAGGCATAGCCCATCCTCGAGCCCATTATTTAGGGGTGCAACCGATCAGATCCTATTTGGTCGAATTAGGATCACCCTATCAGATCCAAGAAGATCCGGTATGATATATATTATATATTAATTTATAAAATATATTATTTATATTGTATTTTTGTAACTTTGTTATATTATTTATTTTTTATAAAAAATATGTATATATATGATAAAAATAATTAAAAAATATTTGTATTATTTCTTTATTTAAATTGTATATGTTATTTTTCTTTTGATAATTTATTAATTTTTTAAGAAACAAATTGACCTGAATCATATCTAAATATCTGACTTCCCGATTGAATTCAAATTCATATCCTTGCCTATCAGATCCGATCATATCTTCGGATTGGATATGATCTACCAGGAACAATGTCATATTGCAATTCGGATATGCCCTTATTCCAATATGATCCAATCCATTTGCATCCCTACCCATTAACCCCCACCCCCCTCAAAACCGGGTCCGGATGTAGTAGGCACGTTAAATAAGTACAATGAGTGAACACCCAATAGTTGTGCGACATCTGTCCCAGTTAATGCGCCTTTCATCCAAACATTTTTGCTTCATTAAACAAGAATTATCTATTATTTTATTATCTTTATCAAAATAATTAAAAATAAAATAAAAAAACAATGAAAAAGGAAAAGCTAAACGTGATGGGAGTTGGAACTCATTGAACTCTCTCCAACCTTTTGTCGTTTAGGTTTTTCACAACGAAGTGATGACCAACCTCCATATTCCTTTTGACTATTCTGTTAGACATGACAAAAATATTTTACCTACTTATTAAACACATAAAAATGGAAAGAAAGCATCAAATTAACAAAAAAAAGTAAATTATAATAATAAGAAATAGTATATAATATAGGCTATTATGGGAATGTTTTTTCTTGAACCTTTTGTTTGAAAATTATAAATTCAAGTACACGGTTTAATAAGTTTGATATAAAGTAAAAATTGGTTTTATCTTAATGTCAGATACGTTGAGGTAGAGGTGTAAAATGGGGGGCCCACGCAAAGTGTGGGCCATGCCGTGCCAGTTCGTGGGCCGTCTTAGGCCATGTCGTGCCAACCTGTAGGCCGTCTTGGGCCATGCCGCCCTCCCCTAGGATAACTTGGGGGTTGGCCCATGGCCCAAGCCAATGTGGACCTGTGTCATGTCATGATGTGCCATGCCACAGACACTAGCCCATCCTGTGGGCCAAGCATTGGCCCATGCCAAGTTGTGGACTAGGCCAAAACTATTTTTGCCTATTTATTTAAAAAGAATTGAAAAAAACATAAAATTTTAATTTTATATGAATTTTGATGTATACAATTGCTTATATATACAATAATTAAATAAATTAGTATAATAAAACTGAAAATAGTTGTTTATTTTATTAATATATTATATACTATATATTATTATATAATTATAATTTATATTATATATTATATATTATATACATAAATATATAAAATATATATGGGTCGTGTTGCGGGCTGCGAAAGGCACAGCCTACTTGGTCGTGCCATGACGGCCCGCCCCACGGACCTAAAACCCCAAGCCCAACACAGCACGAACCATTCTGCCAGGCCTAGCACGACCCGCGTGCCATTGTGTCGTGTCGTGCTGAACCGGTCCAAAGTCGGGCTGGGCCGTGGGTAACAAGACCCAATTTACACCTCTACGTTGAGGAAGAATGACAAATTAGAGAATTCGATTTAGGCATAAGAAATATTCTCTAAAACTGTAACATGTAATGCTTTATTATATATTAGTTCTCTAAAATTAGAGCATTCACCAAAAATAAAAAGCTTTTAAGTAAATTACTAGTTTTTGGAGAAATTGTTTATTTTAGGATACTTTATAATTAACATAGATGAATTTTAATCTTTGTTTATTGAGGACATAAACTAGTATAGTTCTAACAAAAAAAGACATAATTACTTTATTATGAATCAATTTGACATGAATATGCATAAATTATTCTAACAAATTGATAGAGTTAATACAGGTGTTTCTAACTTACAAATTTACAATAATCCATGTAGTTTGATTGCCCTTTTGCACGCTAGTAGGCCGTAGCAGAAGTCCAGAACCCTCTTTATACTTGCAAACATAGCAAATGAGGAAGAAGATGGTTAGGAAAACCTGTTGTAGAGAAACCTAAATGGTAGAAGGTTGGAGAGAGTCCAATGAATTCCAAACTCCCAACAACACGCTTAGGTTTTCCTTTTTCCTTTTTCCCTGTTTTTTATTTTTAGTTATTTTGACAAGTGATGATGCGCAATCCGGTCGGTCTTAGCTGCCGGTTACCTTGCCTCTAATGAAATTGGAGGTGCCTAAAACAAGAAAGAAAATGGCGACTTTCAAGGAGGAACCCAGTTGGAACACTCAAAAGCTCAAGTTAGTGCTCTTGAGAAGGCAAGGGGAACGAGGGACTTCAAAACCAGAAAGCACAAGAATCACGTACCTCATTCTTTGGGAGACGGGGGCCTTTTATAATCACCCTGTACACTCTCACTCCCATATCTCTGCCAGTTCGGGCATCATCACCTCCGCCAGATTGGGTGTCATCATCCTTGCCAGACGCCAGTTCGGGTGTCATAACCTCTGTCAGTTCCCAGTTCGGGTGTCATAACCTCTGCAGTTGCCAGTTCGGGTGTCATAACCGCCACTGTCCTTATCAGGGCCATCTCTGCTACGTCTGAGATGGCGGTGGCAGGTAGCCGTTGGAGGGCGGCTGTCATGTGTCAGACCCCTAATTAGTCAGGCGCGCCGCCTTTGTATACGGGCTTCCTAGGCATCAAGTACGGTTGTTCAGTCAGGCGACTTGGAGCCGAAGTAGTGTGCGAGGTGAAGTCTTGAGTTCGGATAGAAGTGTGGCCCGAACTGCCCCGGGGTGGGTCAGCTCGGGGTTTTGCCCTTTGCACTCCTTGTAAGGCTCAGGACCTCTAAGGGAGAGCTCGGGTTCTTCTTTTGGGAGCTCGGGTCGTGGGTTCCTTTTTTGGGGGAGCTCGGGACTCCTTTCCTCGGAGCTCAGGTTATGGGCCCGCTACCGTGTCGAGCTGGCGCTTCTGCTAGGTCACTCTCGGTTGCTTCCATGTGTCGCATGGCCAAGGGGTCAGGCCAAATCTTCCTCCATCAACAAGGATAATAAAATAATAAATAATTCATGTCTAACGGAGCAATAACGTTTGGATGAAAGACACATTTAACTGGAACAGGTTTCACATAGCTATTAGGTGCTTACTCATTGTGCATACCTTACGTGCCTACTACATCCGGACCCCTCAAAACCAAATACAAGCGGGATTCAACCCCAAGTCTAAGCTGCAACCGGGGCATCACTTTGGCTATTTTTAAAAAACAGCCTGTACTGTTTTGGGAGCCTTTATATATGACACCATAGCTATTTTAGATCCTTATTTGTCTTTTCAACTAAAAAAAGTATTGAATGTAAATACGATTTTATCCATATAAAATGCCATTCACAACAGATTCCCAAAACAACTCAAGCTGATTTTTATAATCAGCCAACGTTTTTCCTCGAACCAGCAAGAGACGTTACCAACCAATCTGTTGACACCTTGCAGAGTGGAATTAGGCATAGTGTCAATTTCATTCAATCAAAATACGTGGAATTGTAAATTCGTCAAATTCGACTCATCCCGGACCATTATTTAATTTGATCTTGTCATTTTTCTAGGTCAATTGTATCCATTTCCTCGGTGAACAATGCCGACGAATGTTTTGGATGTGGGTTAGTGGTTCAACCGTTTATATCGTTTATGGATTAATATATAATTTTATAATTATATATATATATATATTATAAAAATATAAAAAATAGTAAAAAATTAAATGTATCTTTGATAATATATATTTATGTGATAAACAGTTTTTTTTTTCATGAAAGCAAATAGACATTGGCGATATTAAGAACACAGTTGTCAACCAAATGGCAAATAAGAATGGACATTGATTGATTGATGTAGAGGCATGGGCTCGGGCTACATTCAGCCCAGAATCAAATCCAAACCCAGGCCC